GCTGCGCCACCAATCAATTAATTGAGTTCGAATAATTGCAATTAATTGCCCCCACAATCAATTATTCGGTAGGCCTGTTAAGTATGTTTATATTTGTTTATCAGTTGATAAATGCGCAACGGTAATTGTGTACCCGGTATATCTGATTATGATGTAAAAAAACAAATAATTAGAAATCTATATTGTATGAGTCAGAAACAACAATTTTGTAACATCCTTTTTTATACGGACAGTACGTAATTGTAACAAATTTTATAGAAACGAATAACAATCGTTTTATATAATCGATAAAGTTTCGGAGTTGCTTTATTCATTTGGTTTGTTTTTATAGCTTTCATAAGTTCTCTATAAAAATGTTTAGAAGTTATCCAATATTTATTATTATTTGTCTCTTCCTAATAGTATTTCGTTCGTTTGCTTACTCTCAACAAATTCCTTTTTATTTGGGGGTTAAAAATAGCAATTCTAATGCTAAATACTTCACTCTAAAACAAGTATTACATCATGGTGGAACTTCTTCCTCAACAAAGAACCTTTTTAGAAAGCTCGAAATAGATCCCCAAAATCAACAATCTATATTTACCCAATTTTCTTTTAGTGCTAGTTTAGGTGATAATTATCATGTAGTTAACTATATAGATAACCCTTTAGATTCAATCGGTGTACAAACCGTTCAAAATAAAATTCCAAATTATAATGATAAAGACTCCGTATTAAGTTTAGCTAAAATGAGTTATGACGCATATATTGAGTTATCAAAAGAAGCTGAATGGATTGATTTAGATGAAAACTGGGAGGTTTGTTATCTTTTTATTTTAGTAGGAAAATATTACTTTCTAATTTCTTTTGTATATATGTTAATCATCGCTAATAATTACATAGAAACTACCATTTGGCTGGGAAGATGTAGGTTTGAGAGGTTACATATTTGCTGATCCTGATAATTCCACAATTATAATAGCATTCAAAGGAACTAGTTTATATCTTGTCAATGGTGGTGGCCCGACTGCTCATAAGGATAAGCTTAATGTAAGTCTATATAAAGCCTTGGTATAAGGCCTTGAGAACGGATATATGATATTTATTTTTTTAATTGTTTAAAAAATTTCCTAAATATTAGGATAACCTTATGTTCTCATGCTGTTGTGCAAAAATTGATTTCACTTGGAGAGGCGTATGTGGGTGTCGTATGGATAAGATGAAATGTAATAGTACTTGTATCAAAACTGAATCTAATGCTAAGGATAGTTATTATAATACTGCATTGGTAAGTTAATCAAGAGTATTTGACGATTCAAATTCAGAATATATTAAAGTTTATTATCATTATTATTATTGTTCAGGAAATTTATAAACAAGCAAAAATCGATTATCCAAATTCAAACATTTGGCTTACAGGACATTCATTAGGTTTCATTTCACTTTTATATTTCAGTTCATAGTCATTTTAATTATTTATTTATATACTGTATTATTTAACTTTTTTTTCATTATCACACCTTTAAATATTAACAGGCGGTTCAATAGCTTCATTAATAGCACTAGCTTACAACCACACAGCGGTTGCATTCCAAACTCCTGGTGAACTCCTTTACGCAAAACGAATTGGCCTTCTTCCTCCTTATAACTCTAAATCTGAATTAATCAATTATTTGAAAGGATTGCCAATTTACCATTTTGGCCATAATGCTGATCCAGTATACATTGGTACCTGTAATGGTAGAACTTCAACATGTTATCATGGAGGATTCGCCGTAAGTTAAAAAAAAAAAAAAGAGCTATTATTATTTTAAACATTAACAATTTAAATAATCTCATCAATATAAATAGATGGAAACAAAATGCCATATAGGCAATACTTGCACATATGATACTCGTGGTAAACTCGGTTGGAAACCCTCGATTTGGAAGCATGCTATGTTACCATTCATGGAGAAAGTCATTAATGAATGGCCAAGCATTACGAAAGGAAAGGAAAATATTGCAAAATGTGAAGTTGAAAGAGAATGCAATGATTGTGAAGGATGGAATTTTATATAGGTTTATTCATATATTTTATATATTTAAAGTCGAAAAAATATGTTGTTACAGCTGGTGCTGAAATTTTGGGTTTGAATTATTCAGATCATGTAAATCATTTTTTTATAATAAACGATGGTTTTTTTGTTTTTTTTTTAACATCTACTGTATTATAATGTTTAGTATCTATAGAAAAGTAATAAAGGGTTTTACTACAGAATCCTGACGCACAAAATCCGACATCAAAATTAAGATTTTTGTAGTGTCGGATTTTAATGCTATCGGATTTTGATGTCGGGATTTTGTGGACCCTCCAAAATATTCCTGATTACGCGAAATCCGATTGGATGAAATTGATTAAATTATATACTTTGATTTTTGTAATTACCTTTCTAAAATCAATGAAAGCCTTTTTATTTTAATTTTATAGATCCATAAAAAAATATTGATCATTTTAAATATGTAATTGTCAAGGTATGGGTTGAAAGTGACCTTACGGGGCTATGTAGATTTTATGAATAAAAATTAAAATTTCTAGCTATTCAGTAATCAATTCAAATAATTTTGTAGAGCTTAATGGTTTCTACAAAATAAAAAAAAGTTATTAGATTATTTGAATTGGATTATTAGATGGCTAGAAATTTTAATGCAAGCCGAAAAATCCCGGCGGCCACGCTGGCTATTATATCGATCAATCGTCACTTATATTTTTTCAATTTTTGGGGGAGTTCAGGAGACGGAGGGGGAATAACGATAGACGGAGAATCAATTTCAAGCGGCCTAATCTAAATTTTTTTTTTTTTTTGACTTTGACAATGGTTTCTTGATGGCTACCTATCAAAATTGATAAAAAAATTTTTATTTTATGAATTTATAAAATTTAAAATTTTTCATCGATTTTTAGTAGGTTAAAAAAATTTTATTTTAAAACTTTCAAGTTTACTAAAATGCTGAACATTTCTATTCATATAAGCATTGATTTAGTTACATAATTACCGATGCATTATTTATTTGTTAAAATTTTCCTTGTTAAAAACGTCATACTGTATATGCGTCAACTTTCATGACTCACGAAAACTGAAATCGGAACTTTATATCTAATCTACTCCTTTATTCCAAAATTGCACCCTAAATTTTATTAATAAAAACTAGTTTTTTCTGAAGAATTAACAATCTACCTTAGTGGTCGTCAAATTTAACATTACACTGGCGATCATAAATAATGCAACAAAAAAAAAAAATTAATCAGATCGTATTATCTCACGCAATTCTGGGCGTATCTGCTAGTTTTTTTTTTTATTTTATTCGCAAATAGTATCATTTTCACTAATAAAAATTTTTGAAAAATTTTATGAACAAAATTTTTCACAGGCCAAGCTTTATTTCAATTAACGTGTTGCATTATTTTTGCTCGTTTTTTACAGCAACACGATTGTAAAGCAAAAAAATTTTTTTTTACATCAAAAGAAAAAAATTTTTTTTTTTCTATCTAATAGTTTTTCATCTTCACCATCTTGTGTAGCCGTCTTGAGCTTTAATTATGTCACAAATTTGTTCTGGCATTGAACGAATCAACTCTGTTTAGACTAAAATATCGATTGCCTACCAAACCACCTGACTTTTTTTCCAGTGGTTTTGTGTACTTGAAATTTGATCCGGAAGGCTCCTAAAACATTGGTCAACCTTGGCCTACAAATATTAAATAAAATTAAATTTAGAAAACGAAGAACTAATTAAAAATGTTTGCCTAATTGTTTCTAAACTAGTGTTCTTTGGATGTCAAGTTATATGTGTCATCATTATCTTGCTACAAAACTTTTTTTTTAAATAGTAAATTCGTGATTTCTAATGTTATATAAAAATAATCAATTAGTGTAATTCAATATCCATCATGTAATCGGTTTTACAAAGGCTATTAATACTACAATATATAATATAGCACTATATCCTCATGAATCTAACTTAAATATTTAATGTAGAAACAAATTAATCATTTCTCAAGATGCTTTCTATAGTGTTGTTTGCTATTCAGCTAAAAACTTCAAAGTTTGGCTCATTGTACTAAATTTCCTTAAACCAGTTCTTAATAGATCAATTCGTATGAATTCAACCCAATGTTTTTGTTAATATTCACACAGGTAAACCTTTTTTCACTTAACCTCTAGTACTAAACCATAGGTCTTTGAGTCATAAAATATAATAAAACAAAAATTTTAATTACCTTCTGATTTTTTTTTTCAAGACCGTGCTTTCAACAGCAATTAAGAGGCAACAGAAGGTGGTTTAATTTAAAATTCTTGCTTGGGTTCACTCACTACTAACAGATAAACAACAAACCTCTATTGATTTTTTACAAACACGGTATCCTAACCACCTTTATTAACTTAAAGAGCTGGGAAGAGACTAATATTATATGCCCAGCATATGGTTCTTGTGATATACTCTTTTTACAGCAATTAAGAAACATAGGCTCTTTTGAACTATCTTTGTATGTTCTTTTTTTTGCTGGAATTTCATTTGAAGTTCTATCATAACACAAAGATACAAAAATGATAATAGATTTATCTTTTTATAGGTATCTTTGTGGTACAAATAATCATTATCCAATCATTGTCAAAAATGATCAAAAATAATGCAACATGTGTTTCACAATACATACATGATTAATTTTGCATCGGCAATAATAATAACTTCTAAAATTCTAAGATTAGAAAAAGATACTATTTGTGAATAAAATAAAAAAAAACTAGCAGATACGTCCAGAATTGCATGAGATAATACGATCTGATTAATTTTTTTTTTTGTTGCATTATTTATAATTGCCAGTGTACTATAATGAGTATAATTATATAACCAATATATATTTTTTAAACATAAAATATTTAAATTTGTTACATATACATTATACTTTAATTTCTCATTAATCTAGTTCGAGTAGGTATATTATATATTATTTTAAGTAACTTCAAGAAATAAAACTTTAATCATATAAATTCTGAATGATTGAAGTCACATTTCTCTTGGCATTGCCATTTATTACTGTATTAATTAGTATGCTTTAAGAAAGTACAAAGTAATTGTCACATGTGTGATAGTTGATCGATGTAATTAAAATATGAGTAATCGAAAATGTTGCAATAAATAAGTAATGTGATATATATAAATTATGCAAATGAACAATGAGAATAATTATTTAGTAATAGTGTCATATTAATTGTTAAATACAAATGTATAAATATAATAAGTTGTAAGCAAGAGAAAAGTACATCTCCTACATAAGCATTCTCTTTAATAAAGTAATTACCCATTAATATACATATAAACTTGTCATTACATACAATAGTAACCAAATAAATAAACAATAAAGCGAGTGTTCGAATCATGTAATATCAACCCTGGGCCAGATATTCGGTATAGTTTACCCTATATCGTTTAACCACATAACAGTAATATAAAGAATATTCATAGTCAGTTATTTAAAACAAAGGTGTTTGTGATCTTTGTTAGGGACTTTCAAAATTAATATATAAAAATTAAATTTAGAATTATGAATGTCAAATTAAACAATGCATTTAACGATTCATATTTATATAGTCTAAAATGTAATTAACAATAAATGTAATTAACAATAAATGTAATTATCATTTGAAACCTCTTATATATTATACTTTTTGCATTAATTTAATCAAGTAAACTTGATATTATTTTGTTTTGTTCACTCCATCGATATTTCTTTTGTATATACAAAACTTCACCCATGACTAAAATATATCATAACATTTTTTACTATTATTTAATCATAAATATAATAACTGCATTGTAGATCTGCAGCTTGGGCATTTATATCAATTGTTAATTGCTTTTGCAATAATAAAAATATAAAGTAAATTAGGATAATTTGGGACAATTTTGGAATTTAGAACACCAAAAACAAATCTTTTTATTTTAGGATAATCGAAAACAAACTTTATTCCTAACTATAAGAAATAACCTTTATCAAACATTAAAAAAAAAATTAAAATCTTTTACTATGAACTTTGATGATTATTGATTATCTATTCACAAAACCAGTAAATTTATTGTGCATTCTCAAGATTACTATGAACTTTGATGATTATTGATTATCTATTCACAAAACCAGTAAATTTATTGTGTATTCTCAAGATTACTATGAACTTTGATGATTATTGATTATCTATTCACAAAACCAGTAAATTTATTGTGCATTCTCAAGATTACTTTTAAACAATAAACACTAGAGAAATGTTATTATAGCATTACAGTTTTTAACACATTTCTGCAATAGCATTATAATATTTAATTACACTAGCATTATAATATGGTATCAGCATTATGACATTGCAGTATTACTGCATTGCAACATTGCGGCATTATGGCACAAAGTAATTACGGCAAATAATACGGCACATGCCGTAACCATATTAATTTGCCAAATTAATTCTACTGACAACACTAGTCTAGAGAGAAGCGGAGAACACTATGTTTTTACAACAGTAAGTGATAAACACCATTACATGAACAATTCTGTCTGTTGAAGAAGTGGTTACTATAGGGTCTAAGCTAAAACTAACTAACTAACTAATTCAGCTAAACTCAAATACTAAAGTTATCACACAAGCATCTCAAGACACCTGCAGCCTTGATTTGAAGGCAAAAGAAGTATAAAAAGATTTGGTCTGAGCCTCAAGGTTCTTTCTGGCGATACTGGAGATCAGAATAAGTATAACTTTAAGTTAGACTTTTGCTAGCTATTTGTAAATTTCAGTTTGAAGCTAATGTAACTCTTTCTCTTAAGTCTTGGCTTACTAGAGTTTAGTATTCATTTTCAATCGATTGTTATATGGATTACATAGATAAAATCAGAATTGCGCCATGCAAAGTTAATTTTTTGTTTTGCATTACATAGATTTCAGAATTAACAATTAGATTTTTTTTTAAAATCTACAGTAATTAATAGACTCATATTCATATTTAAGGTTATGCATAGTAAATTTTTCACT